AAGATCTTGAAGATAATCTTTCACTGCTTTAATTTTAATTAGGTAATATTCACTCTCATGGCTTGTCTTGGAAAAGTAGTCAGCCTCAAAGATAAGGTCTAACTTATTATCAAGCCCAAACTTATCTTCAACATGCCATCTTTATTTGGATTCCAATGGGTAAAAACAACACAAAGCTTAGGATTGTTTGGATGAAGTTTTTTCTATGCAATTCATCAATTTACCTTTTCAACTCTGTATGCTTAATTATGCTCACTCTATAATGGGACAGATTTTGGAGCTATCACATAGAATGAAAGTTTACGATATGTCATGCATCTCTTAAGGGTGTTAATTGATCAAGGTACTTTCACTTAAATATGGCAGAAATGAGGAGACCAAAACCGATATATAGGTCTACACTACCTCAAAGTGACCCCCTTACATAAGCAAAATAGGTTAGGAAATGTTAGCAATCTCTCTCCTAAGTGCACGAAAATCAACCATCTTTATCTTATAATTAAGCGTAATTATAATGGAATCAGATGCATAGTCAACCCTCTAATAGGGATCCAACTATTAACCACAATCTAATTTTCTCTTTGGGTGGATATCAGGGAGTGACTTGTCTGATGTAATAGTAAGTGTTTTCGCTACTTGTTTGACATAAAAAAAAAGTTTAATGACCTTATTTAGATATTGAACACATATGTGTTTTTTCTATTATAATGTGTAATACTTCAAACATATAATTAGAGTTGACTCAGCAAAATATGTGCCATGTTCATAAGAATAACATCATATCACATTTTATCCTCATGCTTGTCAATCTTAAGGGGAACTAAACACCCACTATTGATGGGGAGGGAAGTGCACTTCACCTGACTTTCTTGAAAGGGCTCAGGGTAAGCCTCAACCTTAAGATTAACCCACATGAGTATATGAGTAGATATAACATTTATAATGCTTATATCATTAATGACAAATGCACACCTTTTTTTTCATTACATTTCGCATGCATAGAGAAAATATTTCTTCTCCAATGTTCTACTTCACTTTTAAAAACTACCAAATATCTCGTGAGTTCAATATGCCGGTCATTCTCAAGATCAAGCTCCCTTTCACATGTGAGTGTCTAATCCAAAACTCTTTACAATCACCATCCAATATAAAATTAGACTCATCCAAGGATAAAATTTAAGATTTCCACTTTTGCTACTTATGTCTCTTATTGTGGAGATTGAAATACATGATATCTCTAATGGTTTTTAAAACTCCTCTCAATTGGTTTCTTAGTCATTTGAGTGCTACTAGTGATAAGTTAGACCTAGCAATGGGTCTTTGAATAGTTATGGTTTGATTTCTAGGTGTAGGAAAAAATGACTGTGTCTGTTTTCTTTTTTACCATAAGAGCATTGTGAAAAACATCCTCTCATAATGGGAGTCAAGCATCGCTTTCTTATTTTTTGTATTCATTCTAAGGCTAATTATATATTTATTGACCAGTTAATCATTATCCGCACAACTAATCATAAAAACTTAGACTGCGGGAGTGTTAGGCAGAGTCACGGGATCGCGATCACAAAAATTATGCGATTCCACAATTGCGAGAGAGCATAGTCGTCCGATTTCTGATTTTAGCCCCTTTTTTTTTCTTTTTCTGATTTCTTTCATATTTCCTTATTTCTAATCAGGGTATTTCTATTATGAGACTATTTATGAATGTATTTTTTTTATTTTAAGAATTATTATTTTTGAGTATTTTGGAGATTTCATTCTATGTTTTCTACCTTAAGGAGTGTTATATCCTCTTCCTTTTGCAAGTAGTGTATATGTATTTTGCTCAAAAATAAATAGTGGATCTTCCCCGCCTCCCTTACCTCATCTTTTTGTCGTTTGACCTCAGTTTTCAGTTTAGACAACACTGTAATTGCTTGAATTTGCTGTCCAATAGCAAATTTTGTTGCTTATCCCCTTCCAAACGTAGCCGACCTCCCATATGCTCATTCCCTTGCTATGTCATTCCACAACTACCTCCCCATTCAATCCACTTCCTAAACACCTTCTATGAGCCCTGAAACGGTGTCACTAATTTTTAAAAAGTATTGATTGATTCGAAGGGTTCCCTGCATTACAATTAATAATTGCCAGTGAAGTTTTTTATCATGATGTTTTGGGTAATATTTGGCTCTAAAATTTCCTTCTTCTAAATCCAAAAGCAATTGGCATTCCAAATATTTGTTTTTTTTGCCAAATGCTAGTGCAATAAATTTCTGCATGACTAATGTGCTTCATTTTTGCAAAAGTGCCACTCAAAAAATGAATCCATTTGTATAATGTTTTGATAATTATCCATTCTATGCCACTCAAAAAATGAATCCATTTGTATATCCTAGTCCAAAAATTAATTGAATCATATATACCATTATTGAAAGATGCCTCAATTTTAATTCTTTTTATAAGGATCATTAAAGTTTTCACCATACCTATTATGGCGATCCCATCTACCCTTATTCCTTTGAGAAGTGCCATCCTAAGTGATTGATCTTCCTTAGGATTTTGTTAAGGCTAATCATCCTTTGAATCAAGATGGATGGATTATTTAGGTGTAGGAGTTGGGGTGTTCTATCTAGTGTCTAGGTTTTTCATCTATGCCACCAATACAACCATTTGGTTTTATAGTTCAAGCATTAGATCTTTACTTTCATGCAAATTCCTCTATAACTCGTATGCTTCAAATTTCTTTCCTAGATTCTAGTATTTATCTCTTCTATTATCTTTGTTATGCCATTAATTTCCAATGTGATTGACTTGAGTAGCATCATATTCAAGAGCAAGGCCCATGCGATAGTAAAAAACCCTTTTAATTTGATTTGTTTTTTTTTTTTTTTGGGTATGCATGCAATGAAATTTCTATACAAGATAATATGTCACGAATGCGTCTATGAATGATAAGCCCTTTGTACTGATTTTTTGGGTACACATATAGCATATTTTTTGCAAAGTGTTTCTCTTGTAATAAACTACAAATTAGTCCAAAGCACGATGAAGTTGATCTTTCATATTGGTTTGCATTTTTGGTATGTTGACAATTTGTATGTAGAGTGCTCCCTTCCTAAGGAACTCACATAATATAAAGGTAGATGATAAGTTCCAATATAGACAACTGGCTAAGTTTTGTGATGCATGTAACTAGTTGGAACTAAGTATGCAATATCACAGGCTTTCTAGAAATACATAATAATCCTGATTTTTTCAATTAGTTTTATTAAATCATGATAAAAGAAAATTAGCCAACTCAAAGATCAAGGACTATCCCTTGGTGGATGATGGATCCACATATCATAAGTACTAATGGTTGAAGACCCAAACGCTTGTTGCTCCTTATGTTAAAATTGCTAAAGTTTAGGCTTTTGACCCTAATACCGAAGTTGATCTAGCCTTGTGAAGGGATGATCTAATGTTTTCACTTGTTGTAGGAGGGTGCAATTAATGTGGGGACGATCTCTGAGGTATTTAAAGGTATGAACACAGATTTAGGCCATGAAATCACTTCAAAGGGTTAGAAGAATGCTAAAAGATGTGCTCTGTAGTAGTTGATAGAAATTCAAAAGGGTCAAATGCGTGCAAGTGAAAAGAAATTAAAACTTTGTCAAGGAGATCCTAGTTTGGGCGATTGGCCTACCTTGACTTTCTAGAGTTAAGGAACGAGGTTAAGGGCATATAGAGGGGTTGTAATGGCTTGTGAATGTTTGCTTGATGTGTGTGGAACATATCTAGCTTAGATGGTGGACATCTAGTTGGTTTAGAGGGTAATGGAGGGGAGAGGACCCAAACTAGGTCACTGGGATTCCTTCCTTGGCTGATTGCTCCTAGCTAGGATTTTCAGGTCATGTGATGGTTTTAGTCGTTTAAAAATGGTGTGAGAAGGTTGTAGGAATGTAAGAGATTTTATGGTATGAGTGGGTGAAATATTGGAAGAGAAATTAACAAGAAGAAAGGATGAAAAGAAGATAAGAAGAAACCTAGCTCTTCCACCAAGTAGAAGTCAAGAACGCCGACCACTTTAGTTCTTAACTTTTTTTTCAAAATACCAAAACTTCTTATTATTCATTTCACCAAATATTTAACGCATTACATCAGTTCTAAAGTTCAAAATTTAAAAATCTTATAAAAGGAGGGAATTTGACAGGTAGCCAAGCAAAAATTAGGAATGTTAGTGCAATCAGTCCAATTTGCTTCTTATTATGAAGTGGCTGGCCATAATTACTTCCAAGTGAAGCCTAAAGCTGCTTAAAGAGAGAAGAAGCAAATTGAAAACCTTCTATATTGAGGGATAAATTTAAGGTCGATTATTCGAAATTTAAAATAATTGAAGTTTGAAATTTAAAATTTAAAATTTAAAATTTCAGAATTTTGAAATTTGAATTACATGCTTCAAAAGTTATTATTATTATAATTAATTTTTATTTGAATTACATGCTTCAAAAGTTATTATTATTATTATAATTAATTTTAATGGCAAGCCTCTTTACTCATGTATGATTGATAATGGCCTATTGGCCTTTGATTCTATCTAGATCTTGATCTTGTTATCGAGTCATCATAACCCTTTATTCCACCTTTGGTTTTTTATCATGCTTTGGTATAATAATCTGCGAAATGTTCTCCATCATATGTGAAGGCTCAGTTTGAGTCAAGCTTAATATGAATAACTTGTAGTAGTACCAAGACAAGTCCAATAAATGACAAGCTTGGCTTGGCTTGATTATAGCTGAACTTGCGGTGCTCTTATTTTTCACTTTAGCTACAGTATTGAACAAATCCTTGTTGTACTTTTCCTTAGGACCTTAAATTCTGTGCATTCATGCTATAATGCCCTTGGCTTGGTGTGCTTACATTATTCAAGTGTTGAGACTAAGTCGTACATTGGTCGTGTTGTTTTTCCTAATTGATTGAAATATAATTGGGTCGTTATGGCATTTATTTGACTTGTTATTTCTCTCTTCATGCTTCAACAGATGGATGCTCTCCTTTTCGAAATAAATCAGATATCGTGCTATGATATGATTGAGAAATACTGTTGTTGCATATTGGAACATCTTCCAACCATGCAAAAGGAGAGGTATTCATACTCTAATTACATAATGTTATTAAATGGAGCCTAAGTCTTGGGATCATCAAATTTTAATGCTAGATTGCAACTAATGAGTTTATCTACGAAAAATGTAATTTCCAGTGGTTAGCGCCAGACTTTATAAATTCACTAAGAGTTAAGTAAGTTCATGGTGCTATATGATTAGGTAATACATCTGTAGCTTCATTGTGTGCTTATAGCAAGAATGTCTTTCTCTTCGGGCACAAACCAAAGTTGTTTTCCTTCAATTTAAAATACAAACATTTCAAACTAATTCCGTGCACACTTTTCTGACTATATTTATATCCATGGTAGACAGTGAAAGGAATTTAATCTTCACATGCTGTGAAAAGAAACAACAACAATGAAAAAAACAAAAAGTCTTTATCCCACTAAATGGGGCCAGCTACATGAATCCTTTTTTCTCATTGTTTTATTGAGTGTCATATTTTCGTTTAATTCTATTGGATTAAGATCATTTTTTATAAAACATGCCGAAGCCATTTTAGGTATACCTCTACCTCTCGTACCATCAGTCACATCCAGAGCATCTACTCTCTTAACAGGATCAGCAGATGACCGATGTTTAATGTGATCAAACCATCTAAGACGACTCTTTATAATATTGTCTGTCACTGGATTTACACCAACCCTTTCACGGATATATTTGTTTCACATTCTATCTCCAAGTGTAAAACGCCTCATTCACTTAAGCATTCTCATCTCAGCAACACTTAACTTAGATTCACGCTTCTCTTTTATAAGTCAACAATCTACACCATAAAGCATTGCATGTCTCACCATCTCCTTCTAAAAGTTTTACACCATAAAGCATTGCATGTCTCACCATCTCCTTATAAAAGTTTCTTTCAAGTCTAAGTGATACTTTTCTATCACACAATAGGCCTGATGCATTGCTCCACTTCAACCATCCAACTTGAAATCTACTGATAACATCCACATCTATATCCTCATCACTCTGAACAATAGACCCGACATATCTAAAACGTTTACTCTTTTTAATAACTTGATCACCCATTGTTACAACCCCTTCACTAGATCTAATACTACTAAAATTATATTCCGTGTATTCAATTTTAGATCTACTCAAATGAAAGCTATTAGATTCTAAAGTTGACCGCCATAATTCAAATTTTTCCTGAACTTTCTTTTGTCTTAACTACAAGAAGGACACCGTCAACAAAGACATACATTATGGTCAATCCGCCTGTAAATGTCCTGTAATACATCCATAAATAAAGTAAAAAGATACGACCTTAAAGTTGATCCTGATGTAATCCAACTGAAATAGAAAAATACTTGGTCATTTCCTGAAGTACAATTTTCACATCTTGTATGAATTAACTTGACAAATACATGCATAAACTATTGATTTGGTGATTGTTTTGATGGAAAAGATATTTACTATGTTGATAAAAAAAAAGGGCATAATGTTATATTTTGATTCAGTTCCTTTAAGAGTAAATGGTTTTGAAAGATATGTACATTACAGTGTAGTTGCTGTAGTGGAATATAAATGATATTATGATAAATAAGAAAGTTTTCTTTTCTGTTTTGACTTGTGCGCAAACTCTTGTGCCTAAAATCTTTAGAGTGGCAAGAACTTCTTCTCCTGCTTTATTTGCTTCTTCTATTTTCGTATGATGAAGAATTCTCTACCTAGCATGGGGTTCCCTTGTTCTGTTGGCTTCTTTCTCGTTTAGTTCCCTAATAAATTCTTCAATTTATGAAAACTTTACTGTTTCATTAACAGATCAATGATATACATGTTGAATAACTGGAGGCCAATTTCATTGCAAATTATTCAATCCCATATTCTTATTTGTATCACTCTTCATATTTTAAATAGTTTTTGAGGTTGGGATATGCATTTTCATTATCCTTACTGATTAGTTTGCAAGAATTTATTCAGGATAGTTGTTTCGAGAATGCGGTATATCATAATAATTGTGAACACCCCTCCTCGACATACTAGCACAATATTTTTATCATTTGGGTATACCATAGAGCTGATGTGATTATTTAAAAAGAGCGGATTATGTATTCACATGCATGAAACATGAGAAGTTTTCAAAAAAAAAAAAAAAAGAAAAAAAGGAAAAAAAAAGAAAGAAGATGAAAACCTGAAAGTCTTGATTCATAAAAATTTGAAAATCTTTATAAGGAATTGTTGATCTGGTCTTGAAATCTTTATTACCTGCTAATTGGTCCTTTGAGATTAGGTATAATTTTATTTAGTAAGAAAGCGCGCGCGCGCACACACACACAAACATACATATAT